CCCCCGCCTGCCTCAAGGCACCAGAAGAGGTGCCCTGCCGCAGGGGATGACCTGGGCGGTGTGCGAGGGTGAGTGAGGAGGGTGGGATGGGAGAGGGGGCTTTCAGGGGCTTCTGCCCTTGACTATGCCCAGGGCGAGTCTGTGTGTAGGAGAGGCAAGTGCTGTCTTGCTCTCCCGCCCCAGACACTTCTTTCTTACAACTCCCAAATCTGGTCCAAAAAAAAGAAAAAGTTTGGGCTCCCAGGGTTCCTGCAGGCCTCTAGAGACTCCGAAACCCCACAGCAGCTGCTCGGGGCTGCTGGGAGCCAGCAGGGAAAGGGTATCTTCATGGACGGTGGGAATAAGGGGCCCCACCACTGCAGCCACTATTTTCCAAGTCCCCAGGCCCAGGCACCAAGAGGCAGAGTGTATGATCCCATTATGGGAGGGGGCTGCTGTCTGGGCTGGAGGGAGGGAAGGGATAATGAGTTCTCCGGTGGGAGCTGACCCAGGCCTTCCAGTACACCAGAACCCACTAGACATTTCCTAGCACCTCTTTATTCTCCCCCTCTTACACCCCTCCCCACCCCCAACAAAATCCAACCAAGGAGGATGGTGCTGAGGTCCAGACCCTGCAGCCAGAGATTAGCCCAGGCCTGGCACCTCCACTTACCTGTTGGGAGAGCATCAGGGACTCTCTTTGAACCTCACTTCCTTACCTGTAAAGAAAGAAACCCATGCCTTTCTCCTGGGATTGCCGAGGACAAGAGAAAACCCCGTATGTCAAAATCTACTCTCTGTCAGCTCTTGCCCCCTCATTTCTTCCTTAGCCAGAGGATCCTGACCGATGAAAGTCATGTGGATAGAAGCGAGATTCCTCCCAGCTCTGAGGTTTGAGACCCCTTTGGGGCATGAGGGCCTGGCCTGCCACTCTCCAGAACATGTGGGAAGATTGAGGGAGGTGAGCAGACATGGTCAGAAGACATGGAGCCCCCTGGCATACCTGGGCCCTGGCAGAATGACCAGGCCTTTGGTCCCTGAAGGAAGGGGCAGTGGATGTAGTAGCTTCCCTGACTTCCCTGAGGCAGGCCCCTCTTTCATGAACCTGGGCACAAGGAGCAGGCACAAGGGAAACAAGCAATCCATTTCCTCACCCATCTCAGCACCCAGAGCCCAGACTCCAGACCGTGAGAAAGGAGCTTCCATGAGCGGGTCTGACTGGAGAGAGGAGCCTTGGAATTGTCCTGCTCCATCCCCAACCCCTAGCCAGACTTCTCTTCCCACTCTCCTCTAGCTTCAGTGAGCATCGGGTCCAACCTTGGCTCCCTTCCCAGCTCTGTCCCAGGGCCACCCCCACTGAGTCACTGCCTCCTGCTCCCTTCCTTTCTGCTGCCCCCCTCCAGCCACTAGCCAGGCCCTCCCCACCAGGAGTCTGAAGAGCTGGAGGGCCCTGCAGGCAGGCACACATACCTCTCCAGAGGCAAAGAGAGGCCATAGCTGACTCTGGCGCCCCTGGGCACAGCAGACAGGTCCAGGGGAGTTACAGACACACTGAGATAGAGGCAGGGCCAGGGCGGGGCCTGGTTTCTCCAGTCCGTATGGAATGTGTGCTGTGAGCTTCATGGAAACAGTCTGCATGTTGTCCACTTCTGTACTCCCAGCACCCAGCACAGGACCTGGCTCAGAATAAGCGCACAGGGAGGTGTCACACTGAGGTGTCACACTGCCCCTGCCCTTCCGAGGCTCCCCATCAATGAGCCAAGTGGAAACCAGAGTCACAAATGAAGACAGAATCAGAGGCTCAGCCTGAAAGAGATGGATGAGGCAGAGGGCTCCAGCCCCAGAATGGCAGAGGTGCTGATGGAAATGGGGACGGACTGAGGCCTAGTGGGGGGACTGGGCCTGGAGCCGGCCTCAGGCGGCTGACCACAGCAGGCTCTGTGGGCTGAGCTTGCAGGACTGAGCAGTGACTCATGGAGCCCATCTCTGTGGCTCCCCTGGCAGCAGCCCTTTCCACTGAGATCATGAAGCGGGGCTGGGCCCCCTCCTACCCCTCCCCAGCTTTGCCTTCACCTCCCATTTCTTGCCAACATGAACCAATCAGAACTTCAGTGGAGGCTCCGGGGGGCTAGTGAAAAGAGACCTACAGGCGTTCCCTCCACTCCATCCCAAACCTTGCGTACCGTCTTCAGTGCTGCTGCAAACAGTGAGGGCAACAGATCCTCAGCCTTCCAGATCTTTCTCACCTTTGGCCTAAATAAACTCCAGACTCCTTAGTATGGCAGTCAGGGCCATCCAGAGGTATCGAAACCCTCCTGCCCAGCTCCCAGACTACCTTGGAAAACATATCTGATTATAGGGACCAGCAGTTAGCGTAATGGCTATGTCGCTGGACTCCCACGTAGTCGACCATGGTTCGCGTCCCGGACCCGGTGGCTTAAAACTCACGCCAGGCGCGTGTGCGTGCGTGCCCAAGATCCCGAGAGGAGAACAGAGGAGAAGGGATTGCGGCATGGCCATCCCCCCTGGGGGGGTGATTTCTCGCTTTCTGTCTCTCTGTCTCTCTCTGGCGAGCGCATGCCCCTTATAGAAAAAACCTCTCAAAAAAAAAAAAAATCATCTGATTAAGTCTTACCTTATACTGTCTCCCTTACCTGGAAGGCCCAAGCTGCCCATCTCACCTGGTCAGAATCCTTCCTCTTCCAAGGCCTGGATGCACCTCCTCTGTCTTAATCCGTTGTTGCCTTACTAACAGAAATACCTGAGACTGGGTGATTTATAAAGAAAATAGAGGCTTCTTTACAAAACTCAATTCTGGTAACTGGGAAGTCCAAAGGCATCACAAAATGGCAGAAGGTGGAACTTTTAGCACAGCATGGTCTCTGAGTTTCTGTCTCTTGTTCTGGTTTCACCCCCTCTGTTTATATATCCACTGCAACTCAGTCATAGGGGCCCCACCCTGAGGACATTATTTCACCCGAAGTCCCCACCCTAGGACATCATGAAGAAATTTAGCTTTCACTTAACACTCAGGTCCCAACCTATGAATTGCTAGAGGACATTCGAATTCAAAAACATGAACTTGGGGGGGGGGGAGGTTCCAAACGTTGCATTATCCAAACCATAACAACTTCCTCCTTCATAAAGTCTTCCCCAGTCATGCCAGCTAGGAGAGACTGCCCCCCTGTCTCCTCTCAGCTCCAGCAGCACTGAAGTCCGTTTCTGCCATCCTGCCAGACAGGTGGTGGTGACCTATAGATGCTCTCCTAATTACAAGCTTCCACCTGTCTAAGCTAGTAATTCTCAAAGTGTGTGCCATGGGCCACCTCCCTCCAAGGCACTGGCTATGAGTAGAGATTTCTGGGCCTTCAAAGACCTGCTGAATCAGAACTTCGGGGTAGGCCTAGGAATCTGCATGAACAAGCTCCTCAAGGATTCTAATACTAAAGTCTGAGAAGGGCCACCTGTCCTCCCAGCACCATTTCTTCACATCCCCTGGGTTCCTCCATCCTGCACCTGGTACCAGCCACACACACACTGACTCCTCTACGAGCCTCTCCAGATTTCCCTAAGTCTCTGCAGCATTTCCCATGTACCTTTGCCTTGTGGTCTAAGACCAGTAATGACAAAAGTTTGTGATCCCTTACTGGGAGTTAGGCCCTGATTAGATTCCCACCCCAGCCCACATCTTAACATTTAATCTGGCAGTAGCCTTATGAAGTAAGTGTGATCGTTGTCCCATTCTGGAGCTGAGGACATAGGCTTAGAGTGTTTCTGTGTCATGCCCAAGATGACATAGCTGGTGAGTAACAGCAAAGACTGACTAAACTGCTAACTACTAGTTAGCTACTAGACCTCACCATGGCCAACTGTAAACAACTTGAAGGTACAGCCTAAGTCACAGTTTTCTTCACGGTTTCCTCATGTATAACACAGAAAAAGGGTGCTAGTTGACTAAATATGTAACCTTCAAAATATGTCAAGAGTCCTTCAGATCTGTAAAGATAGAAAGTAGACTAGTGATTACTTAGGGCTGGGAGGTGGGGGATGAGGAGTGACTGCTATGAATTTCTTCGGGGGATGATGAAAATGTTCTAAATTTAGAGTGGGGTGAGGATTGCATAACTCTGTGAACTTAGTATTAAAAACACTGAATCGGGGACCAGCAGATAGCATAATGATTATGTCACTGGACTCCCACATAATCAACCATGGTTCAAGTCCTGGACCTGGCAGCTTAAAACTCATGTGGGGTGCGTGTGTATGCATGCCCAAAATCCCAAGAGGAGAACGGGGGAGAAGGGACTGCAGCATGGCCATCCCCGCTAGGGTATGATTTATCGCTGTCTCTCCATCTTTCTCTGTATCTCTGGCAAGTACACACACTTTACTGCAAAAATCTCTCCTCAAAAACAAACACAAAAACAAAAAAAACACACAACACTGAATTCTATATTTTACATGGGTGAGATTTTATGGTATGTGTGTTATATTTCAATAAAGTTGTTTTTTTTTTAAGTCCTTCAGACACAGTGGAAATATGATCTGGGGACTGCCATTGTCTAGGGAGCTCTACCCATG